GGGGGGAAATCACTGAAAAGATTGTAAAAATTGTCCTCTTTTCAAACGATTATTCCTGAAGTGAGGTGAAACTAATTCCACGTCCCCACCTCTCGAGGCCAAGCTGTTTCTATAGGATTTTTTGCCCGCAAAACTTGAACCGGTACCACAGTAGCTGGTAGGCGTTTCGTGCTGTGCAACAGCTGCACAAAACATATTGTCACGGGCCTGTTTGTATTTATGTATGTGTGTCCAAATATATTTTGTTCGCAGAATTTTCAACTCGGGAAGCTAAATATTAGGGGAATGTTATCCACCCACGTGTGGCCCGAAAAATTTAATTTCAGCCTTTCCCAATGTTTGGATACCACGCACGAAGTTATCTCAGGAATCACAAAAGCTAGGAAGCTGAAAATTTTGAGTAATGTCCCCTGCCCACGTCTTCCCGCATGCATGATAACACTTATGGCCTGTTGAATTTTTGACGGATAAATCATTGTCGTGGGAGTCACGAAAACTGAGGCTGAAATTTTGGGGAAATGCCCCTGTTTGTGTATGGTGCTTGCAAATTTTTTTCGTATTTTGCGCACGTCTAGGCTTCACCTGCGGACACGTGAAAGTTTTGGCGCCAAAATTGCTAACGGTCAGTCCCGTGGTGAATGATTCAAAATTGCTGAAAAAAATACTGTCTTTGCTACTGCAATCCCTCTTCTTTATAGAGTTATTTCTGAAATATTTCTCACTGTTTTTGATTGATTAAAAAAATTACCGAGTTTAGAGTAATCTCGCACGAGCCAACGCGATGTATTTCCAATTGCCGAAAAAAAGTGACCCAAACCCTTAGCATAGCAAAAATCGTTTGGACTGCGAGCATTTTAAAATACCAGCATTTCAATTTCAGCCGATGCGTAATTTCGCTCTTGTTAAAATACTAAGACTGCCCGGACAACCGGTATGGATGTTAGTAATGTTACAAGAATGTTCCCACACGCCTGGCACAGCTATGCTAGCCCTTCGATCCTGAGCTACATTTTTATGGTTAGTATTCAACCAGTGC